GTGTCCTCAGCAGTCCTATCCCCCAGAAGGGAGACAGAGGAAGGGGTGGCTTCAGAAAAGGCAGACATGGTGAGACAGGAAAAAGGGAGTCTAAAGGTACGATAGAGGGGAGGAATGTTCACGAAACACTCCCTAAAGGTTTGGGGAGCAACACAACAACTCCCTATAAGGAAGACCCTAGCGGTCGAGTAATGGTTCAAGAAAAGGGGAATACGAGATAGCGATCGACCTCGATTTCTAAAATAGTAAAATCAAAAGGTCCAAAAATGCAAGAACCACCTCAAGTCTAAGCGATCCAGAACGAAGAGACAAACAGAGGGTAAAAAGCGTACCTAGGAGAGGAGGAACAGTAGGCCAAAGCCAGAATCGGAGGCAAAGGGCAAATCTTGTCGAAACTTCGAATTGAATCAAGGAAGATCGTTTCCTCAGCGAAACCCTAGTGGCACCAGCAAAATCGAAAAATGGAAAGTCGGAGGAAAAAGAGAGGAAAAAAGTATAGAGAGGGAGTTCAAAGGATGGAATGAACCGCTCCACCTCAATTCGGAAGCATTTAAAGCTAATGGTACGAAGTGGAGAACGTGCATGAAAAACTAGGAAGTGAAATGATTGCTTGGAACTGTCAAAAATCCTTTCGCGCGTAAATCGAGGTTTACATCTGGAGGTCAGGTCTGTTTAAGTCTCAGATCAGCCCCCACTCAAGATCACTTAGAGTGAGGGCTGGGAGGCAACTGATAGTACTCAGAATAATTTCCAAGCATGAGGTCGGACAAGGAGATCAGACCAAGAGGTCAGGCGAGCAGGTCTGAAAAAGAAGTCAGGAAAGACACGTAGAGCCCAGGTCAGAGCTAGAGCACCCCCCCCCCCCCCCGAGGCGCCCCAACAACGGAAGTGATAAGGAGACAGCTGGATGATGACCGAAATCTGTTAGATAGCAAAGAGCCATATTCAAGGCATAAAAATCCTTAACCATCCAAGATTCTTCGGATAAACAGCAAGGATTTCGGTGTAGATCCCATAAAACTAGGAACAATCCTATTAATATTATGTAACTGTCCCAAAGCAGGAGAGGAGAACCCAAGTAACATATACCCTATCCTGTAAACCTTCTGACAGAGGAGTAAAAAGAAAAGGAGCAAGAGTCTTCATTAAAGAGTGGATTAGCCGAACTCCCGAGCTGATGAACCACTATAATTCTATTGCGTCAATTCCCCTATTTCCCATCGATTGCTCTTTCGAACCTTGTAGCTCAGATCCTAATAGTCAGATACTGATCATTCCATCTGCTCATTACCATAAATTTACACTACATTGATTTACACCATCAGTTGTAATCTTTGAAAATAATTAATGTCTATATGTAAGTGTAACAAATGCTTGGCATGTACATGATAATCTATTCACAATGATCAAATCAAACTATTTTTTGTGTTTTAATTTCCTCCTTGCTACATCCGTCTCAAGGATTCTCTCTCTTTTCTTTTCTTTTTTTTTTGGGTCAAGAGTGTTATTACAAGAAGAGACAACGAGATTTGAACCCGCAAAACAGCTGACACGATGACCCTAATGTCATAGATTCTCTCCTATTAGTTACATATATAGAATGTTGAAAGATAGGGTGTCTATATATGGATAGTAAAATATCTCAAATGTGATATGAGTGATTCTAAGTTTAGTGCAGTTGTCATTGGACTCACCATACAATACAAAATGCTGACATAGAGTTGTTCCAAAGGATGGTAATCCTTATACTTTATCTATTTAATCAAGGAGGGTTACATCCCACAACCTGTAGGTTTTCACTAATACCTCCAATTAAATATTAATCATCTAAGCTACCCGGCAAATACAATTATGTCATCAAACTCGAATGATTCACGATTCTGAGAGGACATAAAGGCCTGTAAATCATCATTTTCGTAGAATAAAGGGTCTTGAAAACAACGAAATCAAACAAATCGGGTCAAGGATAGACCCGATATTTTTATCGACATGTCCGTTGTCATTCTCAAACATAGGGTATTTGGGACCCACTTACATATTAGCCAAATCAAGTGGATGTTAGCCTACTTTATCTCATTATCCAAACATACCCATAGGGTTTGTTTGGATAAATTTTTGAGAATAGTTTGAATTAGATTTTTTAAATCCTTTTAAAATCAAACTCAAACTCCACTTTACAAAAATGAGCTTTAACATTGAATCTAATTCATACCTAAATTTGGTATGCCCACAGATATATAACTATTATGATAATATATTTGTATATAAATGACTATTTTGCTTATTCATTAATCTAATTTAAACTCATATTTTTATACGTATAGGATATAATTGTCTTTTTATATCTTGAATCCTTTAACTCTCATCTAAAACCCACCTTCGCCCCGGGTTTGATAAAACCCATGATTTGAGATTTAAGGTTCAGGTCAATAGTGGGTTGAGGTTGATAACTCAGACTTCAAATTTTTTATCAAACATGAGTTTTATCTGTCATTTGAACTATTTTTTTTCAATACATCTTTCAAAATACCCCAATCTCACTAACCAAACAACTCCTTAGATATTGACGTCAACTTGCACAATGCGCTTTCGTCTCATCTTCGAATAATTAATGATTGTATGTACAAAGAAAGAAGTGATGATACTTGACGTTGGAAAGAACTTATCCATATGTAGAAATTACTCAAAATATTCTCCCCTAATATGGACACAAATTTTACCCTTATCCATAACTTTTTAGCATTAGATCAAGTCAATATCGTCCTACTTGTATTATTTATATGAAATGACATGTCCTTTTCTCACTCTTCCTGGCCTTCCTCTTTTTTTTTTTTTTGGAAAAATTTCAATCACAACCCCTGTAATTTATTATATCTTCAAGAACACCCCCTCTAATTTTTGAATCTTTAATGACAACCCCTGTCAGGTTAAAAATATTAAATGGAATGCAATTTTACTAAATTGCCCATAATATATTTAAGGACAAACTTCATTCACACCCCCTCTAGATAAACATATCTTCAATGAGACCCCCTCTAGATAAGTATATTTTCAATGAGACCCCATCTGTTTTCTAATTTTTTTTTACGTAATTAAATTCAAATCGATTAAAATTCAATTCAAACTAATTAAAATTTATTTTTTTACATATTAAAATTTGTGCCAATTAAAAATTATATTTTTTTTATGTATTAGAATTTGGGCTAATTAAAATTTTGTTTGAGCCAATTAAAAATTATTTTTAATCGACTCAAATCAAATTTTAATTAATTCGCATCGAATTCTAATCAGCCTAAATTTTAATATATGAAAATATATGAATTTTAATTGACTTAAATTTTAATAAATCTAATTTTAATTGACATAAATTTTAATAAGAAAAAAATATAAATTATAATCGACTCAAAAGAGAATTTTAATTGGCCCTAACAACTCGGATAGAGTTCAAATCGGCTTAAATTTAAATATGTAAAAAATAATAATAGGCTCGATTTGTTTTTTAAAATTTACTAATTAGTAAATAAAAAATTTATTATTTACTAACAAATTATTTACTAAAATTTTAATAAAATTTTATGTAAAAAAATTACTTAAGGTTATGTAGGGAAATTTTTGGTATTTTAGATGAATTTATTTTGTTAGAAATAATAGTTTAATGGTAGGAGTGTTAGTGATGTTTAAATTAAACTAGAAGAGGTGTCATTGAAGATTCAGAAACTCAAGGGGGTGTCCTTGAAGATACGATAAACTAGAGGGGGTGTTATTGAAATTTTTCCTTTTTTTTTAAATATATATACAACATTGACAGTTAAAGAATTATTAAAATTTATATGAGATTGAGATTAAATTTTAAAATAAAAATTAACGAGGAGTGGTTAATTAGGAAGATAGAGGAATGGTATATATTGGTTGTTGATTAGAGAACACTTAACTTCGTAATTAATTAAATAAAAATTAAAAGAGGGAGGAAAGGTATTTCCAATCCTCTCTTTTAAAAAATATTTGTTATATATATAAGTTTTGTCCTCCATGATATCACAACAAAACAACAAAACCCTTTAGACAAGGACAATCTTATCTCTACGACTTGAATAGGGTATCGAAAAAAAAAAATCGATTTTGTACCTCTGAATTTAATTATTTTAATAAGTGCTTTTATAACTTTAGTGAGTTATTTTATAAAAAAAAAAAATTTATATTTTTGTGAATAACTTATTATTTTTGTAAGTATGTTTATCACTTGTATCACAAAAGTAATAACAATATTACTAAAAAAATAATAAAAATACTTACAAAAGTTATAAATAATGTTATAGTACCGAATTTTTTTTTCCCATACATTATCCTTGTCTATATCTCTTGGGGGAATGTTCTACAACAACGGATATATTTTGGATCTTAACCTTAACCACTGCTAAACGAGCAAAGTCAAATATTTCAACTCTTGAACACATATCCATCCCCATTTACTGACCAATGCCCTTCATGGTTGCTGACAATTTGATAAATCTCTCTCTCTCTCTCTCTCTCTCTCTCTCTCTCACACACACACACACACACACACACACAAAAAGTAGCTTCATGTTGAGGTTTGTCCAGACCCAAGTACAAACAAAGGAACAACAAAACATCAGAAACAGAAGCATTCGCAAATGTGCAACCAGCAACAAGCCTAACAGAAACAAAATAGCTTCCAAATCCAACCTGTAACTTGCAAGCTTATTAAATCACAACACACACAAAATGTTATGTATAAAGAAGTATAAACCACATTCATAAAGTAAAACAACAAATCTAAATCCATAGAAAAAAAAGAAAGAACCAATAGCAATTTGAAGAAAATGAAACCCACAAAAATTTTCATTTTATTGTTCTAAATTTCATTGCTTATGCAATGAATGAGTCTTGAAAGAGACTATTACAAAAAGCTAGCAAAGAAAAAGAAGAAAATGTTTTCCTTCACTTTCTTTGTTTTCAGTATTTTCCTTCAGTATGTTTGATCAAGCTTCAAGGAAACCAGTCATCCTAAGAATTGAATTCCGAACTTCACTCAAGTCCCGGCCTTTCAGAGTCCTCCCATTTCCGGTGCACACCGAGAACGCCATTTTTCCTGCGATTCGCCGTCCTACGATCACGTGGGGTGGCACTATCTCTCCATCATCATCATCATAATGTTCATCCCCAAAAAACCCTGAATCCACTTGTTGAAACCATGAATTCCCTGAAACATTTTCCGGAATTCTCACCGGAACTGTATTCTTCTTCTTCTTCTTCGTTCTCAATTTGGTGTTTTGCGATGCCCGGGAATTTGACTGATCTGGGAACTCTTCATTTACAGCATTTTCCTGGAAAATAACTTCAGATTCTTGGAGTTCTTCAGCCATAAAAAATGGGTTTACTGCAAAAGATTCAGACCTATAAGAATCTCTGAGAGAGAGAGAGAGAGAGAGGAAATGGAGATTGAGGAATTGGGAAAAAGGAAAATGGAGAAGGGAATTTATAGGGAAATGGATGAGGGAGGAGAATAGGAAATCATAGTGAGTACATTTTGATTAATTGTGGGGTTATATGGCGTCACTGTAATGCGGTTGAGTGAAGTCCCAGCTTTCTCTCTCTAGAAACTAAGTTTTCTCTCTCTAGAAGTGACCCAGCTTTGCCTAAATTTAACAGGTCGATTTCTTGTGGCCCACGGCTTTTTTTGTTTGGATTGAATAGTTACTTGACTTGACTATTTTGTCTCACCCTTAGTTGAGTGGGCTAAGCCATGGTAAAGAGTTGGTTGAGCTTCCCAAGCCTAAGAAAATCAAACGAGGTTGGACGATTAAGAGATCACAAATACTACTAATTCCATCAAGCCTTTTTTCATTTTGATAGAAAATTGTTATGTTCTTAAAATTATATCTAAAATTATGTTTTATCTGTTTTTACTAAGCATAGTCCAGACACAATTGCACGTATGTTAAAAAGTCTTTCCCAAAACTTAATTTTTTAGTCACCCAATCTATTTTAAGCCTTAAATGTATAGGTAATAGGAATGTAGAAAGCGCGAGTCTTGAATCAAAAAGTTAGCTAGGTGTAATTTAGATGAAAGTTCTCTCAAGTGTAGGTTGAGAAAAATGTTGTCATCTTGACTTTAATTTTGGTAAGAATAATGTCATGAATGTTCATGGTGTCATTGCATAGGAAGCCGGAAGGAAGGAAAGAAGCCATGTTGTCGCCATTTTTCTGACATCTAACTTCTAATTAAGCTATCCTCAATAGGGAAATCCAAAATGGTCTCATTAGTATTTTTAGATCATAAAATATCTTTTTCTTTTGTTCATTTTGAACAAATCTATGGTCTTTTTTAACTAGTTGCTCGCTATTTTGCCTGAGAGGGGCGAAGGAAGTATGATTTATGATTTTCAACCTTGGCATGAAGGGGAGGGATGAATTTAAATGATGATTTGATCGGTAGACAAACACAATTTATATTCAATTTTTTTATATATCGGAGAAGTTGATCGAGTAAAAAAGCTCCAATAAATGGAGAAAAATAATTTGAACAACACCAAGTTAATATGTTGCAATTTAAAGCAAAATTAAGTAGGGCTTGTGTTTCTTAATTTTTGACTATGTATCTCCAAGTCAACACATAAAACAGGCACACACACACACTCTCTCTCTCTCTCTCTCTCTCACACACACACATGCGTACAAGTACACACGTTTAGGTTAAGTAAGAGGAGAGTATTATAGAAAGAGAGATATACAATGCCCATTAATTCACATAACCATACCGTGCATATTCACATTTAAATAGAAGCATAATGCTATTTGAATTTAATTTGTTAATTTAATTTATTATGATATTTGTATTGACGATAAATTTTATCAAACATTGAAATTTGATACTGATCTAATAATTTTAATGAAATCACATTACTATGTCAATAAATTAAGTCAAATTTTTAAATCTAAATAACATTACTTTAATTAAAATTATACAATCACACAGTTATAAGTGTATGGATACATACACTTAATTTGTATTTCAGCATGGAGGAGAGATAAAGCACACTACTACGTCCTCCCATGTGATTTACATTTGTCTAGTATGATAAGCAAATTAGAAAAATAACTATACCTTGCGTGTTCACACTTAAATAAAATTGCATATTCACACATACTTACCATTATAAAAGCTTGGGGTGATAAAATAATTATAAAAAGTTAGGAAAAATTAAAGTAATAGTTGATTTTCTATAAAAAAAAAAAATAATAATAATTATAAATAAATGTATGAGCCGTGGGTTCAAAGGTAACACGCAACTCGGCGCATCCGACGGCTCATGCTCCGCCAAAGTGGGGTATTTTTCCCAGGGTCCACCTAATTATCCAACTAACACTTTCCTAATGATTCACGATAGCACCACTCAGATATTGCCACGTGTTAGAAGTGCCGTCACATCCGCGCAGAAAAAAGAATCTCAATTATTATTTGTAATTATGTTTACGATAAATGATAATAAATAATTCAATCTAAAATTTACAAGATATTTTTTAAAAATGATAAAAAAAAATAATTTTAAATATTAAATTATGTTTTGTGTCAAAAAATTAGAGACTAATTTTAAATATTAAATTAGTTTTTATGTAATTTTATTTCTTCATTTCAAACCTATGATGGATTCTAAGAAGCGAATTTTAAATTAAAATTAAGTGCAATAATAAAAACTAAAGGTTTTTATATAGATTGTGTTCTATTTCTCGTTGTTTCTACCTGTTATCCTTGCATAGAGATTATACTAATTTTTTTATATAATATTATATTGACCTTGCTAATTTTTTCTATGTCGTTTTAATTTTATCGAATGTCCCTAAGGAACAAACCTTTTTTTTTTTTTTGGTAAGTAAATGAACAAACCTTATCTCTATGTTAATGAATATACAACCATATGTCTACTTTAAAATAATGAACAAAACCTTATCTCTATGTTAATGAATATACAACCATATGTCTACTTTAAAATAATGATATACAACCATATGTCTATTTTAAAATAATGATACACAACTTAAATTAAATTAAAAAAATTATAATTCAAATGCATATTATTTTCTTAGAAGACTGTGATCTATTAACTTCTTTAATAGGACTCACTCATCAAGTACTTATCCAATGAATGATATATATTTGAATTATAATTTTTTGATTGTATTTTCGTTATGTAGTATTACTCATCTACTTTATTCCTAAACTGAAATTATAGTAAAAATTGCTAGAAGATGTGAGAATTAGGTATTAACTATAAGTAACTCATGTCTGAAAGTATGGTGCAATGTAAGTGAGAAGTGATGAATTTTGGAAAAGGGGGAGAAATTCAATATGAATGATTTTTTAGAGAGATATTGGTGGCCGTTAAATGAATCTAATTTAAGACTATCGAGTAAATTTATTGAATTTATGCCCTATTTTATATTATAGAAGATAATCTTTTAAGGGTCAAAATGTGAAGTTAGCAAATAGTGAGAGAGAGAGAGAGAGAGACAGATTTGAGCCAATGGAATGCTTACATCTTGAAGACGGATTAGGAACTAATTGGGTATTGGATGTATCGTGTGTGCTTTTTTGAAGAAAGTGACTTTACAACTTCTTCTTTTTTTAAGGTCATCCATTATTATATAAATAGACAATGAGATTCAGACTCGTGATCATAAAATTTAATAGATAGAGTGTTGGCCATTAAGCTAACCGATTTTCTAGCAACTTTTTCTATGCATGGTAAGTAGAAATTAGCATCGTTGATGATGATGATGACTTAAAGCACATCCAAAACTGTACATTAATTTGGACATTGATACTCGGCAAATAGAAGCATATATTGTTGCTTCAATTCTTGTCCAAACAGGGTGTGAAAATCAAAATTATTTTCATTGTTGGTGTCTTGATCATTTTTCTTCTAAGACTTTGTGTTGAAAATATGAATTTTTTGAAATCAGATTATGAGAAATTTATCTCTCGTGAATACTATAATTTTGGAGTGGATAACTTGCTTTTAATCAGACCAGAGAGAAAATTAATCGAGCTACGCAAACACACCTGATCGTTGAACCAAAAAAAAAAAAGGAATTTCTCACAATGATATTTTGGTTAATTTGTTCTCATTTTGATGGCCCAAAATGAGTGGAGTAATATTAGTGGTGATCCGTCGTTAAACTAAGGATCACATACAATTTCGAGAGAGATTAAAGTAATTCAACAATCGAAAAATATAAATTTAAGATTGAAATCATCCGACCACATGTACTAGTATATAATAAGCAGGCACAAGTTCAGATGAACATACACAACCTTTGAAAGGTCGTAACTCTTAGTACAATCAATCATAATGCATTCTAAAATTGTGTCAATTCAAACTCAAACACGACTCTCGCTATATCATGCATGACAAATTACCCACGAACTATTGCATCTTTTGGATAAGATACAAGTGATGCAAGCACTAAATATAAAGCTACAATGCAAGTCATAGGAAGAGAATGCCCAAAAGATTGCACTTTATTTATGATGGTGTCAAACTAACGTCGGTGAACAGAGTGAGTGGGACTAAAGGTGAATCTAGGCTGTTAACTTCATAATGACAGTGATGGAATGTTTCTTAGGGGATAGGAGAATTTGCACAGTAAGAATATAGTAGTTTATCGGCTCTGGAGCTCAACTAATCCACTCTCTAATGGAGGCTCTTACTCCTTCTTTCTCTATTGATTACTCGAATGTATTACAGTGCAATGTATGATCTAATTAGGGTTTTCTCCGGCCCCCCCTTCTCGATGAGGTGTTACATAGTATTTATAAGGCTGCTCCCTATTCTGTGGAATTTCAGCCGAGATCTTTGTCAATTATTAATGGGATCCTCTTTGATTTTAGGAGAGAATATTGGTTGGTTGAGAGTTTTATGCATTGGGCTCAACTTTCGCAATCAACTAGCTGTTTCCTGGTCGGTTCTGTTACGATCTCCCCAAGGGGAGCTCTACCCCTGATTCTCTGAGTTTTTCGTATCTTTCCTGACCTCTTGACCTGACCTCCTTTCTTAAGCTCACAGCTAGGGCTTATTTGAGATATTATCAGTTGCCCCCCAGCCCTTGGGTTAAGCAAGCTTGGGCAGGGGTTGAGCTGTTTTTTTAACCAAGCTGGATCTACACGTAGTTGACCTTGGCTTGCACGTGAGTGAGGCCTTTTTGACAGTTTTCAACAATCATGACTTTCTCGTTTTTCGTACACATTCCAGCCCACATCTCTCAAGCTTTAAATGCTCAAACAGCTATTTGAACCACCGTTTTCCACTGTTCAACTTCTCTGCTGCTTCTCTCTTTTTGTGATTTCCTGGCTTTCTGGTTTGAAGTTTTCTAATTCCTCGTTTAAGATCGAGTTTTGTGGGTTCGATTTGAAGATTTGCATTGCCCCCTTTCTTCCATTTCATTCTAGGCTGCTATTCGTTGCTCTTTCCTAACTAGGTACGCCCTTTTGTCCCTCTTTCACCTTTTCTCGTTCTGGATCCCTCGAATTCGAGGTGGCCATTGCATTTCTAGGCTTTTTGGTTCTTTTACTTTTGGAATCGAAATTACTGCTTGTCTCCTCTTCCCCATTTCGTGGACTGGTCTTCTATCGTGCGAATCCTCACTGTTGGAAGTTATTACGTTGACCCTAGGGTTATCAGAGAGTGCTTAATTAGTATTCCTCCTCTCTACCGTTCTTTCAATTTACCTTTCTCTTATCCAGTCATGTCTACTCCTTCCAGAGCTACCCGCTCCTCTGCTTCTCTCCTAGAGGAAAGGTCTGCCGAAGAGGACACTGATTTAGGGGATGTGGGTGAGAAAATCGACAATTTTTTCGGTGTAGATGTTGTCGATGCCGAGAAAAATACTAAGGAACTACCCCCGTTGTCTTCTTTT